TGGCAGCAGCTCTGGGGGGCAGGACCCCTCTGCACAGGACCCAGCTGGGAAAGGACAGGGGTGGGTCAGACGGTGCTGGAGCTCCAGCGCTGCAGGAGCTCGGGGCGGCACCTCTGGCCCCAGGGCTGAGCCCACCAGGACTGCACCTTCTCGTCCAGGTCTTCATCACTCTCATACATGTCATCTTGGCTCAGCCACCACTCATATTCCACGTGGACGTTGGGGTTGAACTGGTTGCTCTGGGCCTGCAGCGGACAGGGGTGGGTCAGACGGTGCTGGAGCTCCAGCGCTGCAGGAGCTCGGGGCGGCACCTCTGGCCCCAGGGCTGAGCCCACCAGGACTGCACCTTCTCGTCCAGGTCTTCATCACTCTCATACATGTCATCTTGGCTCAGCCACCACTCATATTCCACGTGGACGTTGGGGTTGAACTGGTTGCTCTGGGCCTGCAGCAGCTGGGGCACAGAGGAGCTCCCTGAGGAGCAGGCACTGCCGGCCCCATCTCCAGCCTCCTGCCCACCAGGGCAAGATCTGCAGCTTCCCAGCAGGGAGGGGGTTGTGCAAAGACCCCCAAACACACAGATCAGGAGGTGGCAGCAGCAAGACTTGGACTCACTGAGGAGATGTGCTCAGCCCACTTAGCATCAGTGCAGCTCCTGGTCCCCTGCCCAGGCACAGTGTGACCCCTGCCTGGACTGTCCCAAACAGCTCTGCCCTGAGGGACCCCAGCACCCCTGGACCCCTCTGCACCCTCCTCTGCCTCCCACACTGGCACTGGAGATGCTGAGGGCTGCAGGTGGCCCTGCAGGACACGTCCACATGGGTGTGGGTCCCCCCCTGCTCTCTGTCAGTGGGCTGTGTCCCAGCACAGGAGGGGTGATGAGGCACAGTGTCTTACCAGCTCTTCACACAGGGGATGTCTCATCCTCCTGGCCACATCCAGGGCTGTCTCTCCTGCCTCGTTGGCTGTGAGGAGGAACAGCAGCAGCCTTGAGCACCAGGAGCCTGCCCAGTGTGCAACCAACTGAGGAGCAGTGCTGCCTTCAGGGCAACTGGGGGAAAATAAACCTGAAAGAAGGGACAGCCTAAACCCAGAACAAAACAAAGCCACTAAGGGATGGTGGTGGGAAGATGAAGAAGAGGGCAGGAGCTGAGATGAGGAGAGAAAGGAGCAGAGGTTGGCTCGAAGATGACCAAAGATGGGACAGGATGGAAGGACAGAAGAGTTCAGCCACCGCCAGAGCCCAAAGGCTACAAAACCAGAGAAGGACACCATGGCCACAGCCCATGTCCTGTGTGTCACCCCAGGCAGTTTGGTGCAGACCTGGCACAGGTTTCCTGGTGCCTGCTGGACACACAGACCACCCGATGACCCAGGTCCCAGTGACTGCAGCAGGGGTGTGAGGGCAAGTGGTTCTGCCCAGCCACGGGCAGGATCTGCTGAGCACTGTGCAAGGCTGAGGAGGTGTTACCAGAGAAGAGCTGAGAAGACACCCCATGTGTGGGGGCTCCCATGGACACTCACTGATGAATTACCAGAGAAGAGCTGAGAATACACCCCATGTGTGCCCAGTGTGGGGGCTCCCATGGACACTCACTGATGAAGATGTTGGCTTTGGCCTTCAGCAGCAGTTTGACACACTGGGGTTTGTTGTGGGAGCAGCAGTAGTGCAGTGGTGTGTTCCCCTCTGCTGTCTGCGTTGCCAGGCTCCTGCTGCAGGAGGTGGGTGATGTCAGCACTGCTGGGACAACCCACCAGCCCCAGCAAACCCTGCCTGCAGCTGCCACATGCAGCCTCCTGCTCACCTCACCCAAAGGAGAGGTGCTCACCACTACCATCACACCTCAGCCCCGAGGAGGTGGAACCACAGAATCATCACAGTCAGGAAAGACCTCTAAGGTCACCAAGTCCAACCATCAACCAGTGAAAGCCCCATGTCCACTACAGCATGTTCTAAAGTGCCACATTTACATGTTTTTTTAATATCTCCAGGGATGGTGACTCCACCACTTCCCTGGGCAGCCCATTCCAGGGCCTGAGCCAAGGGAACCCAAAGTCCCTCTGATCCAACCCCAGCCCCAGCTCAAGGCACATTTGCTGGGAGCCTCAGCCTGGTGGTTTTTCCCTTTTTTGGGAGCATTCCAGGGAAGATGACCAGTCGTGCACCATTCCCTAGCACAGCTCAGCCATGACAAGCTGACTGGGTGTCAGGAGCTTACCCGTGCTGGACAAGAAAATCAACGACATGCAAAGAGGTTCGATCAGACAGCAGCACTGCCAGGTGGAGAAGGGTCTCTCCAGGTTCCTGTAACCAAGACCAATACAGCAAGGATGGGGCCATGTCTGCCCACAGCACCACCACAGACACCAGCACTGTCCTTTAGGGCCTGTCCTGACACATTTAAAATCTCTCAGAGATGAACAGGTTTGACTGTTCAGAGTCACGGCCACCCAAGCCAGTGGGAACTGAGTTGACATGCACAGAGCCCTGGCTCGTGGCTTCATGAAGAACAACCAACCATCCCCTTTCCACATTTACAAACCCAGGCAACCAAAGGTGACTTTTCCCCCCAGGTCAGTGTCTGAACCTTGTCAAGTCCACGATGTCACCTGGGGGTGTCCAACAGCTGTTCCCCACAGAGCTGCTCCTCCCTTGCCCTTGTTCCAAGACATCCCCTACTGCTGGTGCTTCCAGCTCCCTGCAGTGTTTTGCTCTTGGCTGTCACCCTGTGGGACACCCTCTGGTGTCACAGGTGGCACAGCCCAGCACCCAGGGCTGGACCCCAGGGCTTGCACTTCCAGTGCTTCTGCTGCTGTTTCGCAGGGAAAAAAATGCTGCCTACAGGCCTGGATGTCCTGAGAAAACCCACTCAGAAGTTCACAGGTACATCTTGGCTCCCAAGGGGCCTTTGGAGAGCCCTGGAGTTGTGGTTGTGTTACTGCCCCCCCTCCCCACAGCACGAGGAGGGTCCTGGGGTCACAGCCAGAAAACGTCCCTCTGCTGCCACGTCCCTCACCCTGCCCGAGTCTGCCTGTTGTCCCCACCTTGCAGAAAGCACCATTCTAACCAGAAAGCTCTGTCCCCTCCCAGGCACAGGGACCCTTCTGGGCAGGCTGCAGAGGTGACAGCCAAGCCCTTTGCCACCCAGGGACACGAGGCTGTACCTGCAGCGGTGCCGGCACCGCCGCGCTCAGATCCGCGCCCCCCACGTACGCTTGGAGCAAAGGGAAGATGTCCTTGTCCTGGACAGCTTCTGGCAGGCAGGACCACTGAGCAGCAGGGCTCCTCTTGGCATATTTCTTCTCAATATACTTGGAAATGATGAAATCTTTCCGAAAGGCCCTGGCAGATACCAGTCAGGTGGGAGTGAGGGCCCCAGAGCCCCCCGGGGACCCATCCCGTCTCCTGCTGCCCCCACCACCTTCCCCCTCTCTCCATCAGACCTGCCAGGCACTTCAGCACCCAAATCCTCTCTCTCCCATTCCCCAAGCTCCCCTGCAGCAACATTCAGTGTAACTTTTACCAAGCGCTGGGGTTTCCTGACAGCTTCCTCTCCCCCCAGTTACACAATTCAAGGAGAACTTGACTTTCCTGCGTTCCCAGTGTGAGCCCTGGGGACAAGGACCCAGCACCCACCCTGGGAAGCAGAGCCAGCTCCCCTCCTTCCTCCCAGCAGGGATCCCACCCCCTGCAGCCAGCCCCCCACAGCCCTGTGCTGGGAGGGATGGGAAGGCTGGTGCCTCTCCCAGCCACTCGTGTCCTTCCTCCCTCTCCTCAGCCCCAGGACCAGCAGCTCTGACTGGGTGGGAGATGCTCGGGGCTGCACCTCAGGGGCTTTATAGAGGGTCCTGGAGATCTTTGCTGCTCTCTCCTCCTTCCCTTCTCTTCAGCCCTGACCTGTTCTTTGCTCTCCAGACCCCTCTGCCCTTGCAGCTCAGTACTTGTGAGAATTAGGGGAAGAAGCAAAAATCTCAAGGACTGGGAAAAAACCCCCATGTGGCATGAACTGGCTGAGGCCACGAGTCAGGAACAGCTTCCAGACAAGGACTGGTCAATAGGCTGGGTCTCCCCCCTGGAGAGCAGCAGTGGTGACTGGTCAGAGGATCTGGGTGGCCCACAGGTGCCCGAGGGGCAAAGGAGGGATCCAAGCAGAAAAGGCCATTGAGGGGGAGCTGAATTATTAATTCCATGCAGTTTCTGTTTCCCCAGCATCCAAGCAGAAGGGTGGATCTGGCAACCTTGGCCATGTTATTCCAGCTATATTCCTACCTGCTGTCCCACATCTCTGCTGCTCTCTCCCTACCAAGTGCAGTTCCTTGTGCACCTCTGCACTGCCAGGAAGGTCCACTCTGTCTAAACAGTGCCCTGGTCAGGATTTACACCTGGAATGGAACCTGATTGTGCCTGAAGTGCCCCTCTCCAATCTCCTGAAAGTCTTCTCAGCCCCTGCCAATAACCTCCCCAGCCACAGGTTTCCCCAGGAGCTCTTACAGCACCAAGCCCTGGAGAAGGTTCCAGCTCTTGTCAGCCCAGCTGCCTCCTGCCCTCTGCAGAGCCCAGAGGCTGGGGTGCTCTGGGGTGAAGGAAGGGGGTTCCCACACCCTCAGCAGATCCTTGTTGATGTCTGTGCTGATCCCACCAGCCCAGTCACTGGACACAGTGGAATGCTCTGTGCTGTGCAAGTCCCTGTCCCCATCCTGCTCACCCTCCCACCCCTCCCTGCCCTGCTGATGTCCAGCTGGGACCATCCTGCTGCTCAGCTCCACTTATTTATCTTCCTGCCTTTCCTTTTCCTGATTTCTTGATCTCTGTCCTGACCTCAAGGCCAGTCCTTGATCTGTCCTGCTGGCTCTTCCTCACTTCTCCCTTTTCTCAAACCTCTCCTGCTGGACTTGAAATTGCTTCAGAAGAGAAGTTACAGCCTGGGGAGGAGCCACGTTCCTGGTCAGGAACACAGGGCCCCAGAGTGTGAGGGTCCCCTATCCAACCTCCCACAAACACCAGCTCTTGGAGAGCAACTCACATGTCACTGTGCACTGTGGGCTTCAGGGAGAGGCTGGGGAGATTTGCTTCCATGACACTGTTGAAGCCAGAGTTGCTGATGTTCCTCGCCAGCTGCAAAACAGCCAGACCATGTGTGACCTGGGACGTGCAGCAGCTCAGCAGAGCTGGCGGGCAGCAGGCGAGGGTGTCAGGCTGAGACCCTGAGCAGGCATGGAGGTGTCAAGAGGTGCCAGGGGGGGTGTGCCCAAAGGCTGCAGACTCTGCCCTGGCTCCTGCTGCTGACATCTCCCAACTCCAGCACTGCAACCAACCCCAGAGCTCCGATCTGGGCCAGCACCAGACCCTGCCAAGCACCCCCAGCCCTGCCCCAGTGCCCACCAGCTGCCAGCAGCTCCCC